TTCTGAGGGTCAGCTGCAACATGAATAAACAGATGCCAAATAAGCTTTTTTTTTTTTTTTTTAACTCGCTAACACTGACAGGGGCAAAGGGCTCACATTTGCACTAAATCTAAGAAAAGCCAGATGAGGCAAAGGCATTTTTCTAATAGGAGAAGTTCATCGTGAAAGAATGACCCAAGTTCAGCTAAAATAGATACTTTCTGGCATGCACGGATTGCTTCCAGGACCAGAGATGAAATATGTTTTCTCTTTCTCTAACTGGTGATTCACAGTGCAACCTTAATAGCTTTTCTCTAATGATGATGCATTCTGAATAGAAACACCACTCAAGAGTATTATTAGCCTCCATAAAATATATAATTCAGTTAGATAAAATTCTATAAAACAATAGCTCCCATTTGATGCATCATGAATATACTCTTGGTATGCTAATTACATTCTTCGGTATTCAGAGTTTTCTTCAATTCTCCCTTACTTTCCCCTTCCAGAATATAAGACTTCATTTATTCACAGTATGAATCAAATAAAAATAAAGAGGAAAGTTCTCAATGACTAATTGTGTTGGTAAAGTTAAGAGCATTCTAAACTGAAAAGATAAGTTAAAGAGAAATGTCCTGTAGTTACGCATTCTTTAAAACCAATGTTCAGAATACAAATCCTTTGTTGAACAACATCTTGACACATCACAAGCCAAAAAGTTGGTCTGAGAATTTCAAAAACAGTTTATCTGAAGATACTGATCACTTAATAATCATTCAGTGGTCAAAGGCTCTTGGAGGTTGTTTTGAGTGCAAGGGTGTCTAGATAGTGCTAACCACCAGGAAATTCGGTTGCAGAAATCAAGTCTCTATATGCAAATAAGTCTCTGAAGGGGTTTTTTAAAATAACGCAATACACCCTTATTTGGAATCTGTATTTGCATAGAACCAGTCGCCAAAACCCCTAGGAAATTAAGACTGAATTCTCACAAGGTTTGTTTTTAGATAATGGGAAGAGGAAAAATGCCTGTCTTCTTTCTTTCTATAAAGCACACACACAAAAAAATCAGGCTATTTTTAAAAAGAACCTTTAAAATTAAAGATAATTTTAATTCCAAAAAAGTATAACAAAACTTATAAGTGAAATTAGCTCTATTCTTCATACCATATTGTAAACATTAAAATCTGTTAGTCAATAATTTTTTATAAAAAAGTAAAACATACCCATTCTTAAGCTCATGTGTACTTTTTTATACCCCATACCTCATATTCCATAACTGAAGAGAGCTGTATGTGATTTCTTGGGCAACCTTCTCTCTGTCTTGGTGTCTCTTTTAGAGAGACCATAAGGCACAGGTGCTCAATGGAGAGAGATAGAGATAGTGAGAGGGAAAGTGAGAAATCACACCCTGAAGGGATGGCCACACTGCAATCTTTTCTCCTCCATTCTTCTCCTGGGATCTTAGTCATGCACACACATGCACCTGGCATGATTTTCAAGCTACCAGGTCTGAGACTTGAACCATGGTTGACCATGTGGGGGGTCCAGCAACCTAACCACTATGCCATCTGCTAGATCCTCAACCCTAGTAACATTAACTATGCTTAAGAAAGAATTTAAGAACTGTTCACCCTCAATATCAATATTCAGTCTACAATTTGGAAGTTGTATAATTTCAAACTCAGGTGATAATCAATACTATGTCTCCATTTGTTCTTATTAAACGTCTTGATAGCATTTTTATAGGTCTGTTTCCTGCATTAAATTGGAAAATCCTTACAAACAGAGTCAGTATGCTGTGTCTAGTATAGTGCTTGGTCTAAGTTTCTGCCCCAAAATACTGTGAATATTTAATCAATGCCGTTCTTTCAAAACATGGATATTTACCCCAAATGCCTGATCTGTGCCAGGTACAATTTTAGATGGGAGGAGAGTCAACAAAAAAATAGAGCACATAAAAATTCCTGCCCTCATGAAGCTTATTTTTGGATGGTCAATAACCAAACATACAGCCACATAAATGCATATGTGCACACATATACTATATACATTCATAATAAGTGGTATTATAAGTGGTACATACATGTACACATACATACCATACACATTCATATAAATGGTAATAAGTAGTAGTAGAGAAAAACAAAGCAAGAAAGGAGCAGAAGGGAGTGGGAGAATGTGAATTTCTAATTTTTAGTCAGTATAGGTAATAGTTAAGCAAAAACATGAAAGAAGCAAAAAAGCAAACCTCAAGGTTACCTACAGGAAAACTGTTCCTTGCGTGTTTAAGAAATATGGACGCAAATGTGGTCAGAGAAAAACAAATAAGAGGGAGAAGAAAGTGAGAAATGTCATGTAGTTCCTCAGTGTTGACTTTGAATAAGATGGAAAGCACCTAGAAGGTTCTGAACAGAGTATTAACACAGTATATTTCATATCTTTCACAGGCCTACTCCCCACTGTGTTCAAAAGAGACTTGGGGAGGAGAAGGTCAGTAGCAGGAAGTCCAGTTAGGAGACTTCTAAGAGTGAATGCAGTTTGGACCAGGCTGGCTGTGGTGGCAGTGGTAAGAAGTGGTCATATTATTAAGTCTTAAAGGCAGAGTCAGTAGCATCATTTGCGGAGAGACAGGATGTGGTTTGTGAGAAAAAGTGAGAAGTTCCCCAAAATTAATATTTACAGCCCGACAAATGAAGAATGAGACTGCCAATAATTAAAATGGGGAAACTTCTAGAGAGTGGGGATAGCATTTCTGGACTGTGAAATTGGAGATGTCTGTCAAATAGGCAAATAGGTGGATGATGTGGATAATGCTGATATTCAAAAAGATCTAGGCTAGAAATCTGGGTGTTGTTAGCATGTGGATGGAATTTATAAGGTAATGAATATAGCAAATAAACAGAACCAAGAAGCTCCATGGACTAAGCCCAAAGGCACTCTGAAAGATAAAGAACCATCTATAAGAAACAAAAATAAGAGTGCAAGATTCCAGAAGTAGAGAAAGTGCTTCAAGATGGGAGTAGCAATCAGCTGTGTCAAAAATATGGAGACAAGAACCAACCACTGGATTCAGTCATGGTGACCATAGATGAGAGGAATTTCAATGGATTAGTAGGATATGAAAGACTGAAGAGGGTTCAAGACAAGAGGAAAAGAGTATAAGTATCCCCTTTGAGGAATTTAATCATAAAAGATTACAGAAAAATGGGGTGGTAGCTTAGAGTAGGAGATCTAGAGAGAACATTGTAAGATGGCAGAATTTATATAATATAGTGGTAAAATGACAATAATAACAACAACAGAACAAGGGACTCTACACCGCCTGAAAGGAAGGGAAGTATATCTATCTACTCTTTCGGGGGGGGGGCTGCTCATAGAAATTTCCTTCCAATAATACAACACAAAAATGTGGGACCAGCAGGTGACGTGGTGGTTAAGGCGCTGGATACTCCCACATGGCCAACCACGGTTTGAGTCCTGGACCTGGTAGTGTAGATACCTGACAAGCACCACCTTGGCCATGGTTAACATCTACAGTGATAAGTCAGATAAACATCATGTACCCCTGATACAATGTGATGAAAATAGCACTTCACCCCTCTGAGCTTCTTCCCCCAAATCCATAACCTCAGTCTAATCATGACAAAAACATCAGACAAATCTGTTGAGGAATATTCTTCAAAATAGTAGGTAAGTACGAACCAGTACTCGTCCAAATTGTCAAGGCCATCAAAAATGAGCAAAGGTTGGGGGCTGAGGATTGGCACAATAGTAAGGGAATTCTCTGCAAGGTTGACCTACATAAAAGGTTCTGGATTCACATCCAGAGACCTCCTTGGACATGATTCAGGGCTAAACGAAGCTGAGGGTGGATCATGGCATCAAGACCCTGTTGGAGGAACAGTCTGTCTCTCTTGCTTATGGGAGGAAGAAAGAAAGAAACTTAAAAAGAAATAAAAAAAAAAGAAGTATCTGAGAAACTGTTGCAGTGAAGTGGAGCTGAAGGATATATAACAACTAAATGTAATGTGGCATCCTAGATGGAATCCTGGAACAAAAATAAAGGCATTAGGTAAAAACTAATGAAGCTGGAGTAAAGTATCATTACTTAATAATAATGTATCAATATTATAAATAATATCCCACACTAGTGTACCATATTAATAATAGGGAAACTGGATGCAGAGTATATGGAAAGTACATAGGGCATATGGAAACTCTTTGTATTAGCTTTCAGATTTTTCTGTAATTTAAACATTCTAAAACATAAAGTCTATTTATTTATTTATTTTAGAGAGATTTTTTTTTTTTTGGAGAGTTTTTTTTTTTTCGCTATAGGGCGCGTGCGCTCGCCGGACAGAGAGAGACATAGAGACAGAAAGCGAGAAATCACCCCCCAGGGGGGCTGGTCTCGCCGCAATCCCTTCTCCTCCATTCTCCTCTCGGGATCTTGGGCACGTACGCACACGTGCCCGGCGTGAGTTTTAAGCCACCGGGTCCAGGACGCGAACCACGGTCGACTACGTGGGAGTCCAGCGACATAGCCATTACGCTAACTGCTGGTTCCCGAGAGATTTTTCCTATAGGGCATGTGCGCTCACCAGAAAGACAGAGAGACAGAAAGCGAGAAATCATCCCCCAGGGGGATGGACACTCTGC